CATCATTTAATATTATATTAAAATAATATATATGTATTAAACCAAAACCAAAATCCTACCAAAACAAAATTCTGCACTGTACATGCAATTTTTCCCTGTCACAGAGGCCAAGGGAAAGTACACCAAGCACCTGTGACAATAGTTAGTTATGCTGCTTATTGCACTGCTGGAAAGTGCTCAGATACTGTGTTGATGAGGGCAGAATAAGAATATTATATTAAAATAATATATATGTATTAAACCAAAACCAAAATCCTACCAAAACAAAATTCTGCACTGTACATGCAATTTTTCCCTGTCACAGAGGCCAAGGGAAAGTACACCAAGCACCTGTGACAATAGTTAGTTATGCTGCTTATTGCACTGCTGGAAAGTGCTCAGATACTGTGTTGATGAGGGCAGAATAAGAACTTACACAGAATTAAAAAAAACAACCTAGAACCTTTGGATGAATTTTCAGGATGTGAACAAAGTTTGTAGCATATCATAGGTCATGGAACAAAGCTGAGAAGACTGTGGCCAATATGCTAAATGAGTTACCAGGTTCCACCAGATGACATTCCTATATAAGCTCAAACCAAGACACACAGAGTAGAATTTCGACTCCAAATACTTGGACTCCTACAAGGCACTCCAACAAAACATGAATTGTGGATTTCAGCATCCAAATAATGGCATTAGTGTTACTGTTATAAATCAGATCTTACAATGATATTGACATTTATCTCATCACCTCACACACTAGTCACAGTTTGATTCCTGGTGTCAAATTACTACAATGAAAAGAAATACTGTGACTAAGAGAAAAAAACTCAGGCCTTTAAAAACAATAGATAAGATTATGCAGGGAGGCCAATGGGTTTTGTGTGGCTTTGGGTCCTTAGCATTAAATTAGTTTTAAACTTGCATATGTGGTAACACTGGATCTTTTTATATGTGGCAGATTTTAGAGCTCTCTAAACCTCATTTGGAATCCATAACCAGAAGAGACTAGGACAGCTGGATAGCATCAGTTATTAAAAATATCCCAAACACAAACTGGTGGGATTGCCGGCTTCTTGTATGTGTAATGGAGGGGCTTCCTGCAAATCCTTTGAATTTAAACACAGGAGCATAAAGTGTTATAGATGTTCCTATTGACAGGAAAAAGGGTTGAAAGAGAGATTGTATGAGACCTACATAGTGGGTAATCAGCAGGTGAGAAGACAAGATATCAGTGGAATAACTTCATCCAAAAATGGGCACGAGGAATAGGCACTTACAAACAAAAACTGAACAAACAACAAAACAAAACAAAAAATACAAAAATGAAACTTGAGTGAGAACACTTATTTATTGTGCCATTGATCCTAAAAATGAAGACTAAAACCAATGAAAATTATGACCATTTATACACTGAAAAGCAAAGAATTAGTGCAAGCTCATTTTATATAAAGAAGAGAAAATGAAAGATTCAAATATTATGAATAAGGTGGTAATCAATTTAAAAATCAAATTTCAATCTGAAAATTTTGCTCCGACTAGGATTACAAGTGAGCATAAAAACGCCTATAAATGAGAGAAGATAAAGAAAAATACTACTTTCCTTTGCATACTATGTGTATTTGATAATTTTGTACATTTCAGTTTCATAGTTTTGTTTTTATTATTTTTTTAACATTTATATTCTAATACTAAATCACTAAAAAGGTATGGATACACTTGAAAATTGATAATACATTATATGACACAATATTTGACCCTTAATTTCTTCTTTACTTATCCATCAAGACACAAGTTTAAGCTTTTCTATTTTCACTGCATCACCTGATGCAATCTAACCCATGAAATACTCCTCTTTTTGTACTATTTTAGTGAACTGTAATGTTATTAACTGCTGGAAAAAACACAATATGCTCTGAAATCGGGGGAGGGGGCAGATAAACAAGAAGAATGAAGGTAAGTAGTATGGTCTACTATCTAGTGCACAGAACTGGGAGTTAGGATGTATTTAGATTCTAATTCTACTTCTGTCTCTCACTCATTGTGAACCCTTGGGAAAGTTGCAGCTTCTCTTTTTCTCAGTTTTCCTATCAATTACAGAGGGTTAATAATAAATAATAATAATAATAATATCCTTCCAGCCTTGTTAAATGCACTAATTTCTTCTCAGGAAAAGTGGTGAAAGTGCAATATGGGATTACTATTTTAAAATATTTTAATATACAAGTAAATGCTCTCTGTAATTTAAACCTTCATAATATTCTGTTACATGGGATCTCACACAATTTTAAATGATTTTCTTAACTTTAGAATTCACCTTTAATAAGTCTCTCTTATTCCTTTCATGGCATGTTAGCCGAACTCTCCAAATGAACTTTAAGGAAAATATAATGTACTTCAGGTTAAAAAGCTTAATTACTACGTTGAGAAAGCCAGTACAATATCTATCAAGTATGCAAAGAAATTTGAGATTGTAACATTTTTCATGTCCCAAAGGATGAGCGGGGAGGATAGCTTAATACAAATTTCACAAAAATCACAAAATAGGAAGTTATTTAATAATTTTAAGAGGTTGACGAGATGACACATGGGTGACAACTAAAAGCAACCTCATTCCCTTGTGGTAATGAATTACATTGTAATGCTTCAAAAGTCAGATACTTGAGGATGTTCTGTTCAGTTGCAATATTTGTTTGGCAGCAAAACAATGTTAACTCAGAGATACCCATTACACCAAGGCACTGAAGTGAACAGCATAAAGCTAAAACAGATGAAATATTATTACAACAGACTCTGCTACTGTGTTAACATGAAAGCCATACTAATAACCTTGTTCACCTTTCATTCTTGACACTAAAGAGTATCTTGAAGTGAAGTTACACATGAGGGGACAAAGCCATCAGTTTAGTCCCATTGATATCAATGGTACTATTATGTCCTTAAAGTAATTTTTAAATGCATTGCAGGATCAGCGCGTAAACCCAAAGAGAATAGCAATGTTCGTAACACATTCAAGATCCCATAAAATTATAATTCTGAACTGAACTGTGATGCACATATCATAAATCCTACACAATTTGTTGTTTGTTTTAAGACCATAGTAACTTTTTTGTGTGAGTGAAATCAAACTAAAGTAAAACCATTGGACAGGAAAAAAGACATCAGGCTCACCATTAGCATCGTGGGAATACTCTATGCCAGAAACAGTACATCTTCGGAAAACCATCTTATTTTCAGTAAGAGTACCAGTCTTATCTGAGAATATATACTGCATCTGCCCTAAATCTTCTGTGATGTTTAAAGCTCTGCACTGTAGTTGAGAGTCTGTCTCTTCATCATATAAATCCTTATCTTGATGAATGAAATATACTTGGCACACTTTCACTATTTCAATGGATACATACAAAGAAATTGGAATCAGAACCTAAAATACATAAAAACACACTAATTAGGAGAAAATAGGGGCAATAATATAATATTAAATTGGTATAATCTAATCAACTTTATGGCCAACTAAAATTACAAAGCGTTTATGTACTATACTGTACCTTAAAGAGTTTAATAGGCTTAGACTCAATATTGTAAAGTAATTAGAATGTTTGCAAAGAGTTTATTGGGATAGATTAAGAAAGCCTATGGTGCAACTGAAGAGCTGAAATCCATAATTATGTCTGGAAATGTGATTATCAAGGTTCGGAGAGAAGCGAACGCTTTCAGAGTAATAAGATGAGCTTGAAAGAAGCTAGGAAAGGGAAAAAAGAGAGGTGGGGGGGGGGGGGGGAGGTGAAACCTTTGTAGACTGAATGTTATGTTGCATCAAAAAATAGATGAATAGCTCCCAAATTGTATCTGTATAAATAACAGGCTGTCACTAAGTTAGCTTTCCAAGAACAGGGGAGGTAAAATGAATGATTGGCGGAAGGTTCTGCAGAGAAAGCAATGTTTTCTGTTGCAGTTTTTGAGTGGCAGTTCAGCCAAACGAAGAACATATTTAGTAATTGCTGAACAAAGTGTTAAGACAGTTTTTCTGAAAAAAAAAAAAAAAATTCAGGAGTTTCTTGGGGATTTTCAAAAAATCCATGGAAGACACAATTTAGAATATAAAATCGCCTTGAATGTTTTTCAATGCAGAAATTCCTGGTTATATACAAAATTCATCTTGGCCAATTAGACTAGCAATGTTTATTATAGAACCTATATAAGTTCCATATATAGTTATTTAAACAAAACCTATAGTAAAGGGTGCATATTTAAATAACTCTGTTCTGAGGTTTTTTAATAGAAAAAAAGAAAAAAAACCCTTGATACATTAAAATAATAAACTAGAAATGGCAAAGGTAGTTATTTAATTGATCCCTTTTCCGTGTTCTCTTCATTATTATGCTCTTTTCTGGCGCGGTCAGTTCTAGTTTTACATGTTCCAAAGACAGAGACATCCACACTTCTCTTGACCACACCACAGTATTCAACAATATAGTAGATCTCACCATCAACAGACTTTCTTCTCCCTCTATCTCTCCAGTATTCACCTCCTACAGATAGGTGCTGAGTGATGACGACTCTAATCATTGATCGCCTGTATAACTTCTAAACCATTTGGAGCCATTAAAGGGTTAAATTCTGGAATGAACCTTGGTTTTATAAGGTAACTACATTCTAACACCACAGGTTCTAAGTGTTCCTTCAAGATAGGAAAGTAACCAAGATTTTTCAGCATGGCATCCCACTAAGCCCTGGTCTACCCTAGGGAGTTATTTTGAAATAACAAGCGGAATATCCACACTACCAAGCTTGTTATTTCAAAATAAATGACTGGTTGTTTTGAAATAACTCCTGCTTGCCACAATGAATAACGTTATTCACTAGTTATTTCAAAATAGCAGTAGTATGGATGCCCCAATGCTGCTACTTCAAAATTATTACTCCCCAGAGTCATTCAGTAATTATACCCCAGTGCTTCCTGGGACTATAAGTCAAGGTAATGCATCCATATTGAGGGAGCCTGCCTCGGACTAATTTTGAGGCTTCCCTGTAGCGTGGACACACTATTTTGAAATAGTTATATTGGGAGTTATCATCTCAAAATAAGTTATTTAGAAATAATTTCCGAAGTGCGAAGTTTGCTGTTCCTCAACAAGCCCCTCCTTATTGTAACCCACCTTGCTTGTTAAAAAAAAAAACCACATCTAGAATATTTGGGACAGAACCTTAGCAGGTGTGAATTATCATGGCTCCATTAAAGTCAATGACACAAAGACAATTTGGAACACCCGCCTGTTGATTTTTTCAGAGCTGTTTTCATTTTGGGCACCATTAGCACATTCATATGGCGGCTTTGTTTTTCTGATGATGAAATATTTTATTCTTCTTTTTCATGTTTTATTATATTGTATCTTATTGTATTGCCTTTTAAATGCTTAATTAGCTCCTTAAACTCCTTGGTGGTAGAGGTGGCACTCTCTGTGTATAGATAATTATTGTTATCATTAAACCGTGAACACAGGAACCAGCATGCACAACTTTGTTACCTGAAATACTATTATCATTGTCAAAAATAAATATACTGCAGCTAGAACCGGGGATAAATAGTTGCCATCCATCCCTGGAACATTGAAAACTGGTTTCTTCTCACTATATTGCCACACCCAAAGGCCATGACCTGCAAGAAAGTTGAAATCGATGAAACTTAAATTAATGCCAAGAAGTTAAAACAAAAACCACTGGTTTCCTGCAAAGGAAAAAAAGGGAACTTGTTCCTTTTCAAATTTTGCTACAATTTATGAGAAAGGCCTGATTTATTTATTTATGGGTGGGGAAGGGAGCTGCTCAGCTTGAATTACCTTGAGTTACTCAAGTCTTTTCTGCCCTGGAATCAACCATGAAAACTAGTGAAATGGTGGCTGTCACAAAAGTCAAAAGAATATTAGCTGCGCAACTGAGGAGAAAGATGTTAGTCATATTATTTCAATCTCTTTGCTTACTGTCTTTCTTTGTTAACTCCTATTTAATACAAGGAAAGTATTAACATTTTGGAACAGCAGCGATGCCTTTACCAAAGATACAGTAATTCTACCCTTTTTATTAGGGTCTGAGAATAATTAAACATAGCCTGAGAGACATATAAGAGGACCTTCTAGCCCAGCCAGGAAAGACCCGAGTTGATAAGTCTGATATTAATATTAAAAATAAGCAGAAAAAAACCAATACTGTAACTTTCCCCTCTTGAAACCTAACAAGCTTTCAGGACCTTTCTCTTTATATGTTATAAAGCTACAAAAAAGAAATAAAGCCAGTTTTAAAAAGTCCTTTGTAAGGCTTCTCTGTCCAGTTTCTAAACTGCCCCTTGTCCCACACTGAAATAATGATACATAAAAATGACATTGTCTCACCGAATATTTTCACAGAATCATAGAACACGAGAACTGGAAGATCACCAAGTTCAGTCCCCTTCCCTCATGGCAGGATCAAGCACTGTCTAGACCACCCCTGATAGATGTTGATCTAACCTGCTCTTAAATATCTCCAGATGGAGATTCCACAACCTCCCCTAGGCAGTTTATTCCAGTGTTTAATTACCCTGACAGTTAGGAAGTTTTTCCTAATGTCCAACCTAAACCTCCCTTGCTGCAGTTTAAGCCCATTGCTTCTTGTTCTATCATCAGATGCCAAGGAGAACAATTTTTCTCCTTCCTCTTTGTGATACCCTTTTAGATACCTGAAAACCGCTATCATGCCCCCTCGGTCTTCTCTGTTCCAAACTAAACAAGCCCAGTTCTTCCAGTCTTCTCTCCTAACTCATGTTCTCTAGACCTTTTGCAACAGTGCAAAGCTTTCCATTATTTATACTATTTTTAAAATAATTTAGAGGAAAAAAATGTTAAAAATTCTGCACTTAAAATGGACATCAAGTTTCTTTTTACTAAATGTTCCAGTTTTCAGAAGATCTCATGATTTAAGGTGACACAAATTTATGGATTCCCAGTGTATGGAGATTTCTTAAAAGGGCATGGTTTTCAGTGGGTAGGTGCTAAGCACTCTAAGGCTGTGTCTACACTGGCATGAATTTCCGGAAATGCTTAAAACGGAATATTATTCCATTTTCAGTTTTTCCGGAAAAGGACCATCTACATTGGCAAGCTACTTTTCCGGAAAAGCGTCTGTGGCCAATGTAGATGCACTTTTCCGGAAAAGACTACTGGGCTGTCTACACTGGCCCTTTTCCGGAACAGTGTTCTGGAATAAGGACTTATGCCCGAGCGGGAGCAGAATAGTTTTTCCGGAATAGCGGCTGATTTTGTACAGTAGAGCATCGTTGCTTTTCCGGAAATTCAAGGGCCAGTGTAGACAGCTCGCAGCTTATTCCGGAAAAGCGGCTGATTTTCCGGAATAAGTGGCCCAGTGTAGACACAGCCGTCGGATGCATCTACACTGCACTCATAACTCGAAATGAGCTACACAATTTGAGCTACGCAAATTGCTTAGCTTATTTGGAGTAAGTTTTGAAACAGCTTATTTAGTAATTTAATTTCAAAATAACCCGCTATTCTGAAATGTTCCTTATTCCTCATGAAACAAGGCTTACAGGAATGTCGGAATAGTGATCCCATTATATTTTGAAATAATAGGCATGCTATTAAGAGTTATCCCGAAATAACTCTGCAGCGTATATGTAGCCTAAAAGCCAGAATCCTTCTCAAGATAATTCCAGCTCGGCAGCCCAAAACTGAGGAACCCTCAATTTTGTAACAGTAACAGTAGGGTAGTGTTTGGCCCTCAACATTCATCTTTAAAGGGAATTAGCAATCGCAGGAAAAAGTCAGTGCTAGTCTTTTCTTTGGCTTCCCCTTTGAATTTGGTCTTCATATAATTTTTATTATGCTAATTTGGATACTTAAGTATGGTGGGTTAATATTGTATTTTAGGAGTGTCGTTTTTTAAATAATACAGCTATGTGAATGGTATTGTGCTAGTTATGTTTACTCTGTATTCATATATCACCTTGGCAACTAAGTAAAAGTACAGAATTTGGCAGATAGTCACGAGGAGTTGTTTTCAATTATATCAGTACTACTTCTGAAGTAGGGAACTACTCATTGCTACTGAAGGTGTCAGAGTCTGACCTAATAGTTAATCCAATTTGGTTTAGTATTTGTATAAAGTAGACTGTCATTAAAAGATTACTATTTGGATGTGCTTATGTACTATGCTGATGTTTTCTACAAAAAAACCCCGCAAAAAACAAAAAAACCCCAAAAACGTTACACAGAAAAGGAAGTAGCTACAGAAATCAAGAGATAGAAGATACATATTTCTGAATCTGTAAAGCATTTGACTCTTAGGATAGACTTTGATCCTTAGCATTTATTTTTCAAGAGGACTTACCAATGGCTGAAAATAGACACATGACTATCAGTATGAGGACACACCAAAGGACATCAATATTCATCTGTCTTTCAAGCTTACTGCGCTTGTAACGTGGGCCACTGTTATTTAATAAAGCTTTAGTCTCGTGCCCTGCAGAAGCAATCACATTAAACAATAAAGATATTTGTTAACGATCTAAGGAAATTATCAAGTGAACATGTAAAGTAAAATAGAAGGAGTTGTCTTTTACCTGCATAGATTACTATCCCCGTAACCTCTTCTGTGTTCCTAACTGTACAGCCACGCAACAAAAGGTTTTCTTTATCTAATCCATCCCTTTTTCCACTTTTATGTATACTGCAAAAGATTTAATAACAAAATCAAAACATTCAGTTACTGAATTGTATCACCATTGAGTAAAATAAACTACAGATTATCCCAGGGGTGGGCAATGAAAAAACAAAAACAAAACAAAACAAAACATGGCAGCCCGCTGCATCTTTATTTACCTGTGCCACCACAGGCATTAGGTGATCACAGCTCTCATTGGCTATGGATCGCCGTTCTTGGCCAATGGGAGCAGTGGGAAGAGGCGTGGATCAGGGTGTTGCTTTCTGCCACTCCCATTGGCTGTGAATGGTGATCTGCAAGTAAATATAGAGGTAGGGGCCTGCCAGAGACTAACTCTACACACCGGATCTGGTCCGTGGGCTGGAATTTGCCCACTCCTGAATTATTCTCAAAGCTTAAATAGTTAGATCCTCATACAGTGGCCTGAGGATAAAGGACACAGATATTCTCCAGATGATATATTTGTGCCCAATGAAAGGGAAGTAAAGGGGCAGGATGTATATGCATGAGAGCAGGATGACTGCACTATATGTTTCTTACTGATCTACAAACAAGACATGGCATGAATTTTATAATTATTCAAGTCAGTGATGGAGGTTCTAACAGTGGCTGTATGGCTGAGTTTTGCATTTAGCGCAGTAACTTAAACTTTCCTCAGATGATTAAAAATGTGTCATGTAAGGCATTAACAGCATAAGGGAATAACACAAGCACCATAGCCAGAGGTTAAGAATTAGGTTGGCTAAAATGTAAACTTCACAGCTAACAGTTTTCCAGAGAAACACTGCTGGTTTGATACAGCATGTCAGTTTAGCAATACCTTAGCAATTCCATGCAAGCATTGAAAGAAAAAATAAGATAATGAGTTCACTAAAGAGCAAAGGTGGATAAGATCATATATTTTATTGGACTATTGGTGAAATAGACACGCTTTCAAACTACATAGAGCTCTTCTTCATTTGAATAGCCAAGAATCAATAATTTCTGGCTCTTGTCAGATTGTGGAAAATAGTTTTTCATTGATATATGCATCAGAAGAACTATTAACACAGCTGACTCCAATTAAATGTAGAGAATGTGCACAACATGGCACATACTCTTTTTGTGGCATTTCCATTACAGATTGGCTTGCAGACCATTGTAATGATCACTCATATCCCTAGCATTATTATACAACTGTCCAGAGCTGTAAGACACAGCCACACCTAGGTTATTTATCAAGAGCTGCACAACTTCAGCCAGGTTTGCACTAGTGTGGCTAAAACCCATTTGTTTGGCCCTCTGAACTGAGAAGTTAGAAAATGAATGTAAGCTGTCTATTAGTGCTACAGCAGGTGGTGAATCAACTACAGCTGGTCCCCGAGTTACGAGCGAGTTATGGACCAAACATTTGGCTGTAACTCGAAGTATTCGTAACTTGGGTCCCATTCGGTTACATGGTGACTGCGCTGTTCATAAGCATGGATCGTGTTCGTAACTCGGGGACCGCATTGGTCATAAGTATGTATGGTCGTAAGTTGGAGACCGGCTGTATTTACAGACAAATACTTGGCTTGCTATAATTATCTTGCTACAGTTTTAATTTCCTTTCTCATCAATTCAATGAATTTGTCATCTAGAGTTGAGAACAGGAAGGATGGCTTTCCCCTTCTGTCAATAGTTAGCAAGGGGACAGAAATGGGTCAAACTGTAATATTAGCTCAAAAATCCCCTAATCTTTTCCACAGCTTTTTGACTCTTAAAACTCTTAATACAGAAGCCAACACCACAAATACTTAAACTGTGCAACTACCACCACCACACGCTGAAGAACATGTCTTCAGTATTGCCATTCTGAAGTAAATTGGCTCCTGCAGTGTCATATCAGAATCAACCCTACCAGACAGTGATTTTTTTCAGTTTTAACCATGCTAACTCAGAGGCTCAGTGCTGTGTACCCCTCATATGTGACAGTTGCTTTGGATGTTTCCAAGCTCCAAAACCTTCTGTAAAAGCATATGATTCACCGAGAGAAGCTTAATTGCAAAACAGCAAACATTTCTAGTAAATGAAAAATACATAACCCAATATCACACAACAACTTTACCACTGAAGGTACAAAATGAAGAAAGTTCTTCAGGGAACTCTCTTTTGTTCTCTGAGATTACACACACAGAAATAAGGACATTTTCAACATCTACATTTCTATGCACAGTAAAACCTTTAGCAACCCCAAACAGTTTTTTGTTTTCATTGACTTTTCTCCAGGATATGTAGAGAGCTGGATGTTCTTATCAGATAAATATAATACGTCCAAGATATTTCAAATTAACCACTAACTGGTAATAACATCAGCGTCTATAAACAATTGCCTACTAAAGCCCAACAGACAAACTACAGGAAAAAGTGGGGCTTTAGGTTATATGAGAAACTCTTAGTAAACAAAATGTCTATCCTAGCTAAGTTCTTACAGTTTGTTATTTATGCACTGACAAAAATTGCAACTACATCAGAGAAACAGAGGGAAAAAATGTCTCGGAGAATGGATTGCCACAAGGGAAACATTAAGAATAAAAAATTAACTTCTTACATCAGTAGTACTAGAAAAGTGCTAAGGGGTGGCAGAGGAAAGGAGGGGGAGAGGGGAGAAAAGTCAAATCACCTTTATAGACTTGCTGTGTATGAATAAAATTCCACATATCAGATTCCAGTGTCTTAATGCTTCAGAACAGATGGTGAAAGAAAATTGGAAATATTTTAACTAACATTCATTGAGATAAATAGCATCAAAAACAGAATTCTTAATTTTTTAAGATAAATTAGAATACAGAGCTCATAAAAAAGAGAAATGCTGAGAAACAGAATGCACTAGAAATAGAACTAAAGTAATAAAACTGCTGCTGCTGCAGCCACAAATGTTATGTTTATGGTTAAGAACGTACGAACGGTCTTACTAGGTCAGACCAAAGATCCATCTAAGCTCAGTGTCCTGTCTGCCAATAGGGGCCAATACCAGATGCCCCAAAGGGAGGGATCACAACAGATAATCCTCACGTGATCCCTCCCTTGTCACTCATCTCCAGAGTAACAGAGGCTAGGGATATTATTCCTACCTATCCTGGCTAATAGCCACTGATGGACCTAACTTCCATGCATCTATCTAGCTCTTTTTTGAACCCTGTTAAAGTTTTAGCCTTCACCACATCCTCTGGCAAGGATTTCCACAGGTTGACTGTGCCCTGAGTGAAGAAAAACTTCCTTTTGTTTTAAACCTGCTGCCTAGTAATTTCATTTGGTGACCCCTAGTTCTTTGTGGGAATAAGTAAATTATAAGTATAGTTTATTTTTGTATATTTTATTTTATATAACAGATTTTGCCATCCTTATGTATGGTGCAGTGTAACCCTCTATTGGCAGTCCTGAGCATTTAAAAAAACCATGAACCCGGCTCCCCAAAATCATGAAATTAACTAAAACATCATGGTTTTATTAAAATGGGTTCTTTTATTTGACCTTGGGTTTATGAATCTTTAAGGTGCACTTGAGTCATATGTTCAAATTTTTCTTCACAACTCTAAGTGCTAGAAATGTATGCATTTTAAAAACAAATGCTAAGTTTAGAGTTTTATCACATGCTTCTAGGAGATGTGACTTTAAGAACCATACCAAATACCATGAGACTACCATAAAAATAATCACAATTGGCAAAACTGATATGAAAATAATGGAACTATTCAAAGAATAAGGGGGCTGCTCATTTGAAAGACCTTCAGTATGTGCACAAAGCATTACATAAAAATAAAACACACACCCTGCCTCAAAAAAAAAAATATCTAATTTAGATGACCATGGAATGTGCCAAGTGTTTTAGCAGTGGAAAGGTGCAGATTTTGCATCTTTAAAGCACAAATGCTTTTTATCACTCTAGTAGAGAATTCCTCTCAGCAGTTCTAAGAACACAGAACACGTGTTTTTGTTTTATTGATTTTTGAGTTACAAAAATTCTGCTTTGTCCCCTTTTCATCATTGTCCCAGTCCTTGATCATAGAATTCCAATCCTTAGCAGGTCAATAAGAAGCAATCATTCACTGTATTTGGGATGTATAAAAGACTGGCACAATCTATGGGAATAATTTGTTAAATTATCTACAACAGAACTAAAATAATCCTACTATTCTGAGTACGACTTCTCTGCTTTTTAAAACCAAATCCCCTACAGCTTAGCTTGTGAATCACTAGGATGTTAGTTTAAGTTTTCCAGTAAAGTCTCAAAATTGTAGTTAACTTCTCTGTTAATAAGTGGACTTGGTTTTTACAAACCAACTGAGGAAATAGCAGCTCTGATTTGTGACTTTATAGCCCATGCAAGTTCTTTACAGATGAATGTTAATGATAGCTGATTGCCATGCATATACTGTTCACTAGAGACCTGAGTATTAAGGTATAAAGTTGTAACATGCACAGGAAAGTAATATAAGGGAATCTCAAGCTTAGTTGTCTAGTTATTAAAATATTTCAGTTGCACTCAGCAGGTCTCGCTCACCTCATATCCAGTTTATTCTTATTAATTTAGCTCAGATAAAACACAAATTTAGATAGAACAATCTGTGTCTGCTCCACAATAGCACATTTCAAAGTGATCTGCTGATGCACAAGACCCTAAAGGATGTGGATGGAAAATTTTCAAAACACGGGCTCTGTAGATTATATTCCTGGGCAAATTCTGTGCCACTGTTCAATGCAGAATTTTGCATAAATTAACATGGTGGCTATGCCTAGACTGCAAAGAAAAGTTGGAAAAAGATATGCAAATTGCAAAGAGGATTACAGGGATGGTGAAAGAACGCATCCATTTTTTTGCAAATTGTTCCAAAAAAGCAGATGTGTTCCTTGGATGTGGCATAGCTTTTCTGAGATACCTCCAGTATCCAGTATCCCCATAGCCCCCTGGTCACCTACCGGTCGATCGTGAGTGACCAGGGCTCGTCATGAGGCGTTCGGGGCCCCCCCATTTCTCCCTACCCCCG